CTCTGACCGCAACCCACCCCCCCCAATTATTGCTTTTTCTCCTCAAATTATTTTCTCCTATTCATGGCCCCTTTGGGCCCATTTAAACACTGCGTGGTCTGTGATAACAAAATACCACTCTCTGATGGCCATGTCAAGTGTCTTTTTTGCTTGGGAGAGGCACACCAGACACCCTCCTGCCAGCATTGTAAGAACTTCAAGTGCTGAATCCTCCATTCTCGCTTCTCGAGATTAAAACTCCATTTTCAGGAACAATCCCTTCAACCAACCAAAATGGTCCAACCTCCTTGTAAGGTCACCTAACAAACTGAAGCGATGGAAAAGGCTCTTTCTGAAGCCTCAAAACAACGTCCATCAACCACACCATCCCACTCCAACACTCTGCCCACTTCATCTAAAAACTTTAAATCGAAGCATTCGATACCAAAATCCTCAGTATCGAAGCCCTCCACTAAACGTCAAATGTCCACCAAAGCCTCTTCGGTTCCGGAGCCTGCTCCACCTAAAGACTTAAACAACATAAATCTAAATCTGCAGTCATTTCTCAGCGCCTCAACAAATCGCCAATCAATCTCTATTGATTGCCTTCTGATGATGACAGAATCCCCTCTCATCCACCCTGCTCCCAATCACCAGAATGGGGTGACAGAGTTGATCGATTAACATCTTCTCCTCCCAGTCCTCAACATTCTGTTCTTTCAAGCAAGTCTTCCATAGTTGCTTCACCTGACAGGGTTGACTCCAAACAACAACTAGAGAGCCTACCTTATTCGGTGACATCTCATCGTCCACCGCAACCTCCTCAGAGACATCGGCCCCAACAGTCCCAGGAGCCGTATATTTCATCACACGTGGCTCAGACAGTGTTTAGCACTCTCACCGAGTTGCCATTTGCACCAACCAGTGCTCGACTGGACAAACCGCAACCACCAATGTTCTGTCCCTCTATCGACGCACAATTTCCATCGCCCGATAGAACCAAGCCATCGAACTCGACATCGCTATGACCCCAAGTTCGACACTAATGTTCAACCATATCAAACAATGTCCATGGACACTCGGATGGCATATCTCAATATCAAAAATCCTCGACACCGACAAATGCCCATGGACATGCCGCCTCCATCGACATTGAGCCACAAACATTAATACTATGACATTCAATCTGTCGACACCGAAGTCGATCAACAATCCATCAACTTCTAACATGATCCTGATTATTCTGATCATGGATCCAGACCTCAAATGCTGTCAGTATTACTTACCTCACTGGAATCTGACCTTGTTGATGCTGATCCACCATCACCGGTGGAAGATTTCCAATCTTAACGCCCAACTTATTATCTGTATGGCTAAGTCTCTCAATCTCCAAATCCACCATCCTTTGACAGAACTGGCTGATCGTCTATATGACCCAATCTCTAAAGATACAACTACTCCAGTACACATCTCAATGCTTCCGTCTCTACTCCACCAGAGCAATGGCAACCTCTACAGCATTCCTACACAGCATACCTCTTCCAGACATCTGCGCCTCTGCCACCTGGGCACAGCCGCCCACTTTCATCCAGCATTATAGACTTGATCTCCGGCAGAAGTCTGATGCGGCCTTTGGACGTGCTGTTCTAGCCTCTACCTTGGTGTGACACCCTGCCTCCAGGTAAGACAGCTTTTTAGTCACCCAGGGTGTGATTCATAGAGGTCACAAAGAAGAACGACATGTTACCCACCTGTAATTGTAGTTCTTTGAGTGGACCTCTGTGATTCTCACATCCCACCCGTCATCCCCACTGTCATGCCATTCTGATTAATGTAGTGGTGAATTATAGAGGTCCACTCAAGGAACTACAACATAAATAATGATTATCTATCTATCTATCTATCTATCTATCTATCTATCTATCTATCTATCTATCTATCTATCTATCTATCTATCTATCTATCTATCTATCTATCTATCTATCTATCTATCTATTTATTTATATCCCACCTATCTGGTCGGTTAAGACCACTCTTAGGCTTCCATTCTTTGGCCCTTCCCTAAGAAATAATTGAAAAATTATCTGCACCCTGCATTTTTTTAAAAATAAAAAACCATCCGTAAACAGCTGTGCTGTGACATTCTTAGCTGAGTTTATTGGCTTCAGCTGGTAACAAATAAGAATTCTGATATTTGAATAATTTGCTTGTAACATCTGATTTCCCCCCTTTCTATTAAATATTTGGTTGCAGTTTCATCAGGTGTTAAAAAGGCATGTTTTTTTAAAAAAAGCGTTAAACCACCCACACTCACAGTTAGTCAATAGAAATTTCAGGCACTCAGTTCCATTTGGACGTGGAGAATCAACCACATGCTGTGTTTTCCAAGTAGTAAACAAGGTATTTTCTTCATTGCTCTCTTGATATTGTTGTGAGCATCTAATGTCAAATTTGTTGAGGCATTTCATCCTGGGAAGGGAGGAAGCAATTGTTTCAAAGAGCATCTACAATATATATATGAGAAACCATGCAAGTTATGGCATAATGTAGAGGAAGAGAAGAGATGTTATGCAAAGCCATACATAATTCGAGCGTATTATATAGTTGTGGAGTTATTCTGTCAGATCACGGCAACAAGACATTGCAATGGCTTGCTTGTTTTTTGTGTAAAAACAAGCAGCATGCAAGCCCATGTAATGGTCTTCTCAGACAAAATTGTGTAATACTTCTAGCTGTGTGGTAGGAATGCTGTATACAATAAATACACGTAAAGCTGCAGAATGATTCTGTAAATGTAGTGGGGTGCACCTCATCATACTTTTTGGGTTCTGAGCAAATATGCTGATGCATGAAAGCAGGAGCATTATTAGCATGCAAGCTTTTCTCCAGAACTATAAGATTTCAAATGAATGACAAGATACTTTGCTAAGACCATAGCAGTGTTTTCTGGACATGATGCACCATATGGATTTGTGAATGCATTTATGTGACTTAGCAGATGTTGTCTTAAGCTTTCATTAGTCACAGATTTAAAAAATAAAACCAGTAGCAATTAGAGTAGAGCTATCAAATCAGTGCAATTTTACAGAACAGTTGTAAAAATTGGTCTGTAAAAAAACTGCTCTGCTCCACAAATCCCCACCAATTCAATGGCCCTACTTTACTTGTGACTTAGTATGCTAAGCAGCAGGATTTCAGCCAGAGTAAGTAAATTATGGCACATTAGGGAGGAGAGATTGTTGTGTGATTTGGTATTCCTAGATCAGCCATTGGAACCTGCAATGATTAGCTATAACTAGTCCAGCTGGTAGAAGTTCTAGGTTTTCTCTGCACCAAGTGAAGTTAACTGGCAGTAGTTCCAGGGCTGACAAAAGGAAGATCTTAACATAGTACACTATGTGATAACAGATCTGTCTTGTATGCAGTTTCATACAACATATTTGTAGGCCTGCTAATTCATAAGACTGTCAATAATTAATTCCTGCGGTAAATCAAACACATTCTTCATTGCTAGATGCAATGTGTGTGTGCTTGCTGATGGCCAATTTCTGATTGCTGGTAGTCAGCCTGTGGCTGGAATTGCACATTAAAAGAGCCACGTGGCTTCTGCTTTCATTTTATTTCTCTTTGTTTGTCCCAAGTGCACATGGTCATCTGAAATATTTTTACTGTGTTGTTAATTTCCTTGCTCCCACAAACAATATATAGTGAAGTAGAGCAGGAACAGGGGAATGTGCAGTGGGATGTCCCAAATTGCATTCCTTATTATTGGGCTTTATGGAGGAGAGGACATACAGAGGTTTGTTCAAACCTTATCTATCATATCCCACCTATGCGTTGCCCATGGTGTTCAGCTGATTGGTGTTGGAGAGAGAAGATTTAGCTAGGAGCATCCATGGTTTGATGGAGCAAAACTCTTGTTAGTTAAGCAATATAAATTATGACATGGACTGGGTAATAGAACTGAGTTCTTTTTTTTGTGTTTCATCAGTTATAGTCCCCTCAGCTGACCTGGTAATGCAGTAGCACTGGCAACTGTGGATGTCTGGAACAAATCCAAAGCTCCTAATCGTCCTTTCCTTCCAAGAAACCTCCATAGTTCTTTATAGGAAAAAGGCTGAGCTGGCAGAAGACTAAGAGGGTGGATACAGACTCCTTCTAACCTTATTCTACTTTGTTCTGCCAGTGGGATGTTTGAAATATGCGTTCAATTGAGTTAATGTGGCAGCAAAACTAGAGATAGGCACGAACCACAGTTTGGTGGCTCAGCTCCATTTGGTGTGCACCTGAACAGGTGTTCCATGGGTGTTGCACACTCCCCTCTCTCACCTCCTCCATGTGCTTGCCCATTCCCTGGCCAAAGCACACTTCCCTCCCCTGGCTCCTTAGTGCAATTGCCCACTCACTGATTGCAGCACACAGTTCTCTGCCTCCTCCAGCGGCCACCCACTCAAAAGCAGTGCTGAGGGCTTCTATGTTCCACCTCCTCATCTGTGGTTCATGCCCATCTCTAATTAAAATGTACTGAATGTATATTGATGTTAGAGCATATAGTTCTAACGCTGCACTTCCCTGCATGTTCTTTTCCAGGAAGGAGCTAACAACATATTAGGAACTTCCTTCTTCTTTAAAAATGCTAGAAAGACTTAACTTGAGCATCCTTAATTTCAATAGTGTCCATGAGAATTCTTAATTGCTTTTTATAGTTCAGGTGTTCTCAACCTGGGGTCCCCAGATGTTCTTGGACTACAACTCACAAAAATACAGCAAGTTATGAAGGCATCTGGGAGTTTTAGTTCAAGACCATCTGAGGACCTATGGTTGTGAATTACTCTTTAGTTACATTAAAAAACATTCTGCTCTTCTTAAGAAGCCTCATCGGCTAACATTTATAATTTTGTAGCACTTCCTGAGAATGTAATTATGATTGGCTAGACGTGATGATTGAAACTCTGGGGAAGTATACATTGGCACCCTGAATAAAATCATGGGAAAAGTTCTGTTTTCTGGAATCTTCTTAGGTTGTGCTCGTAAGATGGAATGAACCGTTTCAGAAGCTGGCAACCTGTGATGCAGATGGAGGAATATTTGTTTGGATTCAGTATGAAGGCAGATGGTCTGTGGAGCTTGTCAATGATCGTGGAGCACAGGTTAGTTTTCACATTTCATTTTTTGGTCTGAGAATTTTACAAATTTTCCTAAAAAGAAAAAACAAACTCCCAATAGAAAGTGAACATGAAATTGTTAAGAGAAATATTTCAATAGGAAGGAATAATTGAAGAGCCTCTTTCCTGTAGCTTGCCACAAGTGGAATTAGTTTGAATTGCCACAAGAGGGATGGTGTGAAAAGAGTTTGAGGACACTTGATATGGATTTTGAATCTTATATAGCCATCTACTGGCTATGTTGCTTTACTTATGAGTCAAGATTTAGTTTTGCTTATAATTCCTCTCCCATTCATTTCATTAAAAATCAGTTCTTCAGCAATCATGCAATCAATTCTGTTTGTGTACCTAGTTCTATTAAGATTAACTACACACCTTTGACTGGATTACTTTTTTCATTTTATAGAAGTGTTTAAAAAGTTGAAATGCAAGGTGATGGCAGCACCTGACACTGTTTGGAGGCTGAACATGCATCTTAACAGCTTCTAGAAAACATCGGTGTCAATTGTAGTCTATTGACTTCTGTGTGCTGGTGCGTTTGTTTTGTTCGTTTTGTTTTGAGCGGCATATCAGAATAATTTTTAAATGTCTGTCTCTTTTGGTAAGGTGAGCGACTTTACATGGAGCCATGATGGAACGCAAGCGCTTATCTCCTATAGAGATGGGTTTGTGCTGGTTGGGTCAGTCAGTGGACAGAGACATTGGTCTTCAGAGATTAACTTGGAGAGTCAGATCACCTGTGGCATATGGACTCCTGATGATCAACAGGTAATATTCCTCTGAAAGCAGATATTTCACCTCTTAAGCTTAAATGTGCATTTATCTGTCAATGACACTCTGCCCCATACAGAAGGAAAAAGGGTTATGATTATGATTAAGATTCAGCTTTGTGGCAGATATACTTTCCAGACTAAACAAATGTCTAGTGGTAACACAGATTGAATAGCTGTATACATATTGTGTGCAGGATCACTCGCTTTGAAGATTCAGATTTTCAGCTTGAGTGTACTCTTGGATTTACCCCAGAAATTAGTAAGGTTTAGGCAATGGCTAGGAATGCTTGGGCTTTGCACAGTTTAGGCTAATTTGCAAGATATGCCCATTCCTGCATTGTTTGATCTCTCTATAGTGACATATTTTACATTCTTGTTGGGCCACTGTGTTATATGTTGAGTTTCCTTTGGAAAGGTTCAGAATCCTATATTTATCCCAAATGGTTCAGCCAGATTAATGAAAAAGCCACTTGTACAAGACAAAGAACTCCCTTGTTAAAACAGCTCATTGGCTCAAGACAAAATGTCTGGTATTCTGAGGGGACTAGCACTCCTTTACTGTAACAGGGTTTTAAACAAAGCATTGGGAAAGGAAGTGGGGGATCAGACAAGAAAGATAAACACAGTAATATATTTTTGGTTACCATGAATTCTGCTCTCCAGGTCCTGGGGAAGGTGAGAATTTCATCTCTGATGTTGTCTTTGACTTCACTAGCAAATAAAGACAATTATTTAGGCATTATCTAAGCATGTGGAGCCCACACAAGCTGAGGTAAATGTCTTAGCCCCCCCTCTTGATTTTCAACAAATATAATATTTAGATGTAGCCAAAAGGGGACAGAGCTAGTATGCCTCCTTCAGTGTGTACAACTCCCACACATTTAGATAATGGTGGAATTGGGTTAACATTTTACTTCTTTGTGGTAGTTCTGAAAACTGCTATGCTCATAGAGACAAACCTCCCTGTCATTCTTCTCATATCTAGGACAGAAATGGCTGCTTTGGGTCTCAGAAAAAATAACAAGTGCCAGTCTTTTGAACTCTGCAACAAGTTTCACCCATCTTCTTTGACATGAACCAATCCACATTTTATTACTTCTCAATAAGAAAGAACGTTCTCACTGACTTTGGTGAACTACTCAAGTTTGGTATTTGCTGGACAATGTTTTCAGCTAGTTAAAATGATCTGCTCACCCATAGATGAACTGTCTGCTGGATTTATGGATGCCTGATCTGACACTCTCTTAAAGGTGCTGTTTTATAAATGTTGGAAATCAGGCAGTCTCTACTGAGTATAGCAGTCCACAGTGGATGGTTTAGCGATGTCTTAATGAAATAGAATGCTGGCACTTAACATTTAGTTATCTGAGGGTTCTAATATCATTTTGAAGAGTGAATTAATTATCTTCATGCTGGTCTTGCAGAGGTGCAGCTTCTCAGCTCCTCATTTTGATATTAAGGAGAAAAGAGAGAGCAATTCTATCCTTTGCTTAAAAGTCTCTCTGGGATGAACCAATTCATATCATACTGCAGCTTGATGGGAAAGTTCTCATTGACTTCAGCGGCCTATCAGGCTACAATTAAACAAGAGAGCTGAGCTCCAGAATACAGATCTACTAGCTCCCAGCTGTACTGCTTAATTGCTAACCTAAACTCACTGTAGAGCTTTTAATATCAAGTTTACAGGTTGAAACATTGCCTTGCTTCTTTGTTTCCTTTACTTTTTTTTTACCTCATTTCAACTGAGAGTCCATTGAAGCTTCTGCAGCTGAAAGGTTAAGGGAGACTCATGGGAAAACAGTGACATTTTTTTTGTATTTACTTTCTTTGGCCATTGCCGGACAACATTTTGGGCTTGTCACAGAGAAGACTGAACTCCAGAGAAGAAAGTGACACAGCTGCCACTTGGTCAGATGAAATCGCAGCTGAAGAGAGATTGTTGTTTTAGTCAAATGAATTGGGGTGCCATATTAAAGAAAATGGGAGTTAGAAAGATTCAAAGTCCACAGGCACACAGAGTGTGGTTGCTTATAGGGCAAGGGTGCCGCTGGGCTCCATGCAGCCCTTAGGACCATTTTTTTTACCCTTTAGCATCCACCAACTCCCAAAATTTAAAGAAGAAAAATGAAAGAAGAAAGCACAGAAATTTCTCCAGTACCCACTAAGGAGCCTACAGAACAATTTTCCCAGTTGTTCTTTTAATTTTTAAATAAAGTTCTTTTTTTTAATTGCCATGTTGGGATGCAAAGCTCCCAATTTATAAAAAGTTAAAGCTTTCTTTTCCCCCCATCTAACGAAATCCTTTTGTGACAACCTTTGCAAAACCATAATCACTGCATTAATTTTTAATTTTTTAAAAACTAAACAGCAACTTACCCTCTTCAGCTGTGCCTCCCTTTTGCTTTCAGCAAATCTAAAAAAAATGTCCATGAACCCTACTGAGGTCATTCACCTGATCTAAAGGTTTAATCAAAATGTATCCAGAATCTGCTCACCTAGACTCCTCAAATGTAGAATGAATGGGAGAACCAATTACACCATGCCAAAAACCATGTCTTTATCATGTAAAGTTAGGATCATATCCTTGTATTGTCTGCTAATTGATATAGAAAGCTAGGGCAGATACTGTAAGGTTTTTCTCATACTTTCTCACTGTGACATATCCTTGTATTGTCTGCTAATTGATATGGAAAGCTAGGGGAGATACTGTAAGGTTTTTCTCATACTTTCACACTGTGAGCGTCTCCTTTAAAATATCAGACATTAAAATATTAGGCCAGTGTGGAATTATTTATATTTTATTTATTTTATTTATTTAATTTATAACCCGCCTATCTGGTTGGGTGAGGACCACTCTAGGCGGCTAACAATCATACAAAAATACAATAAAATAAAAATAGACAATTCTAAGTGATAAAAATTCTACATGAGGTTACACGATACACCGGGCAGAAAACAGTAAGGTAGGAAAGAAGAGGGTCAGGAGTTATGTGATGGGAAGGCCTGCCGAAACATCCATGTCTTCAGTTGCTTCTTAAAGATACCCAGCAAGGGAGACCCGCGAATCTCAGGAGGGAGATTGTTCCAGAGGCGAGGAGCCACTGCCGAGAAGGCCCGATTTCTTGTCTTTTCCTTCCGGGCCTCCCTCGGCGTTAGGCTCCTCAGCCTCACCTCCTGGCTCGCACGAGTGACACGGGTAGATCTTGGAACTATCAAATGGACTCATTAAAAGATGTCCAGGAGCTATCAATCTAGCATTTAGTATCCCCTCAGTGTTCATATTGTGAATTGAACATTTTCAAAGATGCTGTCTGGAATTATTTTTCCATTTTATAAATACAAGGATACTTAGTAAACTGCTACTCCCAGTACTTTTTTTCTTTCAGTATACTACCGTTTTTTTCCATGTATACGACCCCCCATGTATAAAACAACCCCCTCATTTTGACCCTTGCTGGAGGCAGAAGAGCAGTTAATGGGCACCTGCTCCTCCATCTCTCCTGCTGCTGCTGCTGCCTCTGCTGCCCGCCCGATCACCTCCTCCAGTGTGACTGCTTTGCCTCCGCCTCCTACTGCCTCCGCCACTGGAGGGGACGAGGCGGACGTGAGCTGGAGGTGAGCCCCGACAGTCCCACTGGAGGAGGTGATCGGGTGGGCGGGGGAGGCAGCAGCAAGAGGCTCCGGAGCGCACGTGCAACTGCTCCTTTGCCTCCGTCTCCATCTCCTGCTGCTGCCTCTGCCACCTGAGGGGACAAGCCATGAGCCCTGGAAGAGGCAACTGGGAAGCGGTGGCGGCAGCAGCAGCAAGAGGCGCCCGAGTGTGCGTGCGACTGCTCCTTTGCCTCTGGCTCCTTCCGTGTATAAAACAACCCTCATTTTTCCTCTAATTGTTTTAGAGAAAAGTGTCATTTTATACATGGAAAAAATTACGGTAATTGCATTTTGATTGTGATGAAAATACCAAATAGCAAGTTGAAAGAAGCACTTCAGGTTAATTAATCTATCTACCCTGTGTGGAATGGAGAGCGTGACTAAATAGACTACTGTATGGTGCTTTAATAACAGGCAACAGTATCATCCAGAAAGTTCACAGGTAGCAAGTGAAGAAGACTTGAAGTAGTATAATCAGTGTGTCTCTTCTTGTACATGTAGACTAAACATCCTACCATATATTTTGGACTATTTTTAGAGTTATTTCAGGTTTTTGTCTTAGTCTTGTCATTTGAAATTAATGAACTCCGGCTGCTCGTGGTAAGAGCTTCATGAATGTTTTATATTCCATTGCTGCGCCTTTTGGACTGGATGTGTGGGGGTTTTCTTTCTATATTTAGAATATTTAAACATATTTTACTGAGGGTTGTTTGCTTTTGTATTGTTATAAATTATGGAAGGAGACAACACTCTTTGCTTCTTGCTCAATTTCCTGATGTTTATGAGCAATTAATATATTTTTTAATAAAAAGAAGAGATCAGTAAACTTCTTAAAGTGAGAGTAGCCATTTTCCAAAGAAAAATGAGTTTTTTAACTGATATGCTTTGTACTTATTGAGGAAAAAGTGGCTCTTTGAAAAAGGGAATGTTTATCAGGTAACGTGTGTGTGTGTGTGTATGTATATATATATATATATATATATACATTTTAAATTATATTTAAGATTATGAGAATGTTGTGGTAATATATTAATCCTTTGGCAATGCTGGTTCCACAGGACTTAACTCCTGGAGAATCTGCCCTCTGGTTTTAGATTTTGGATTGCCTCACCTTGGACCTGCCAATTTAACCGTAGTGCTTCAGCTAGTTCATGGTGTCCTTGCCTGGCATAAAGAAAATAATTATATTTAAGATTATGAGAATGTTGTGGTAATTTTCTAGTCTTGTATTCTCATAAAACAGGGCAGATGGATGAACTGAAGCAAACAGAGACTTCCATGTAGCCCTTTGGCACTGTACCTCTGACAGAAATATAAGTGCTTGCTGCTTATTGTTTCTTTCCCTCAGGATGCCATTTCCCAAGCAGAACATTCTCATAATCTTAAATATAATTTAAATGTAATCCAAGCAGAACTGGATTGTGAACCAACATTATTTATCTGTGATTTCCCTGGAAATCCCCTTGAATAGATTTTCCCATTTCCCCCAACAACTATGCTTTCTTATGGCTGGGGTTTAACCTACATTTTAAGAAGCACTGTTATGGAACGTACAGCAATCCATAAGTTACTGGAAAAAACCCTCATTGTCAATGAGCAACTGAGAAGAAAACTTTTCTTGAAAACCCTAATCCAATGTACAGTCTTCAGAGGAAGACCTGCAGAAGGCAGAACATTTGAGAAAAACAGAACACACAATTGCTATTGAGTTTGTAAGGTTTGATGATTCAGATGCAATCCTTATATTGTAATGGCTTCATTTAGTTATTATTTTTATTCAGGTTGATTGACGTATCTCACAATATTATGCATGTTTACTCAGAAGGAAGCCCACTGTGGTCAGTAGGGTTTATACCTAGCTAAGCATACATAGGATTGCACTACCCTACTTTTTTGAGCCATAAGGACCTCCAAAACATTGCATATAATGTACATAACAAGAGACAATTTCTTTCTTCTTCTCTCTTGGGAAGAAACAAATTCTGAGTTAGAAAGTGGTGGGGCTATCTTATATTTGGGGGTGTATTATACATGGAAAAATATGGTAAGTAAAGGCAAACAATGCAATCCTAAAAATGCATTTGAAAGTTAACCTGTTAGTGTCGGTGGAATGGAAAAGGAGGAGAGAGATTTGTGAGTACAATTAATAGGCCAGAATTTACTCTTCCAGGTGTGTCAGTGGAAAAGGTCATTTGTTCTTCTCTTGGATTATGCAATATGTCTTCTAAAATCTACAAAAAATGTGGACGTAGTAGCCTGTTTGGTACATAAGAGAACAAAACATGCTTAAGGGGGAAATATCTATAGGTTACAACTTCCCTTATCTTGAAACATGCACCTTGGCTTTCTGATCATGTTTATTTTCAACAACATAAAAGCCTGGACTCATCCATTCTATATTTAACATTTGCCAGTCGCTAATCACGTGGTGGCACTGTGGGCTAAACCGCAGAAGCCTGTGCTGCAGGGTCAGAAGACCAAGCAGTTGTAAGATCGAATCCACGCAACGGAGTGAGCGCCCGTCGCTTGTCCCAGCTCCCGCCAACCTAGCAGTTCGAAAGCATGCAAATGCGAGTAGATAAATAGGGACCACCTCGGTGGGAAGGTAACAGCGTTCCGTGTCTAAGTCGCACTGGCCATGTGACCACGGAAGATTGTCTTCAGACAAATGCTGGCTCTATGGCTTGGAAACGGGGATGAGCACCGGCCCCTAGAGTCGAACACGACTGGACAAAAATTGTCAAGGGGAACCTTTACCTTTACCTTTAATCACCTTGCAATGAGATGGAGACTGAAAGAGTTGATCATGTCCTCTTAAAGTGCTCTATCGTGATACTCTGAGGGATCTCCTCCAGCCCATATTGCAACAGTTTCAAGGGAAGTCCAGAGAATTTTATGTTGTGCTCTTATTCTCGGACAAGAAATCTGATATAACTAAAGCAGTGGCAAAGTTTTGTGTGGTAGCAATGAAATGTCGCTGTTCCCTCCTTGCACTGACTAAAGCAATGCCAGATGTTTAGTAATGGTGTATTTTGGCCACCTTATACTTTATATACCACACTACTTGGGATGATAAGACTGGAGGTGGTTAAAAGTTTACTGAACTGATTTACTGATCTCCTCAGTCCTGTGAAACTATGGAGATTTTATAAAATTTAGTCATGTTGCAATAGGTTGTATATATGGGATATTATTGTTATTCTATGTAGCCCTTTTTTAAAAATTGTATTTTCATGTTACACTAATATTTGAATACATCTGCTGGTCAGTGACCATAATAAAGATCAATCAATCTATCTATCTATATTTGACATTATGAGTAGAAACTTTCCTCTATTTGTTGTTCTCAGACTTTTGACTTTGCTCTTCTGCCTGGTCTGTAATGTTCTAGTTCCACCTGAATTGATCTATATTAAATTTTGCCAGTGTTGTTGTAGGAAAAGGCAACCATCTGTAAATAGATGATTTATGTTCAGTATGTTAAATATTTTGTGATCGGGTGACTATCTCTGTGAAATTACTCATAGTGTTACCCTTTAAGTAAATAATTGTGTTCCATGTAAGCATGTTAAGAGCCGGGCTACAAATTCATAACTATCTGTAAGCAGATCATATCATTTGGGGGAAGGGGCATGTCTTTGAGCACCTCCCCTAGTGAAAGACTCCTTCCTCGTATGAATCCAGTATGAGAGAAGGGTTCTAACCGTAGCAGAACTGTAAGATGGGTACAGAAGAGGACAGTAGAAAGGATCAGGCTACTAAGTGAGATTTGGGAAGGAGCAAACAGAACCTAAAAAGATGTATTCTTTTTTTTTCCAAAGTTCTATTTTGCTTTTGCATTTTCTACATTTTTGCTAATCATGGCATTACTATCTTTTCTCAGGTCCTGTTTGGCACTGCTGATGGTCAGGTGATTGTCATGGACTGCCATGGCCGAATGCTGGCACATGTTCTTCTTCATGAGTCTGATGGCATCCTTAGCATGTCCTGGAACTATCCAAGCTTTTTGGTAGAAGACAGTAGTGAAAGTGACACCGATTCAGATGACTATTCACCACCACAAGGTCACTTTGCTTCAATTTAATGTTCCTTAAGTGTCTGTGGCCTGCTTCTCACTGAGATGCTAAGGCTGTATCTTGACTGTACCACTTTAAAATGCAGATGCAGACTGGTGTGCTTGAGTGTTCCTCACTATACAAATATTAGGTCCACACAAAATTTGTCTGTTTGGGAAAGCTAGTCTAGAAGCATTGTCCTTGACATTTAACTTTCAGTCAGGAGGTATTTTCGTCTGCTTTTATGTTTTGCTTTTATGTTTGCTTTCAAGTCTCTACCTGCAGCCTGGCATAGAACAACCCAAGTATAAGTTTACTATCTCAGTGAGAACTAGACTACGGATATGCCAGTTTTCAAATTTACACTCCAATACTAATAACGAAGAAGAAAATGAGAGTGTGCTGGATGATGTATGCCAATCAAAAGAGGAGCTGGAGGAAATTAATGGGGAAAACCCAAGAGAAACAACTTCAATC